AAGAGACAAAACGTCACTCCCGTACAGGAACGTCACCTCATCCCCATGGGAACACCATTCTTATCCACATGAGAACGACAGTTCACTCCCCCCAAGGACCATGTCATCTGGGGTCCTCCCCTCCTGCGCTGTCCCTCCATCCTTCCAAGCATGATGTCCTTCTCCAAGGACCGGTCCCCTCCTTGCCACATGTCCAAAGTATGAGACGGAGCTTCAAAACCCTAACCTCCAAGGAGAAAACCTGGTCTCACCCACTGCAGGGCAGACCTATTTATTTGCTCAACTGTACGCAGGGTTTTCAAAGGCCTGTCACATTTCAGAAGTGGACGGTCAATTCTTCTTCCTACGAGTATTTAACACTGTTTTTCATCTGGCAGCTATTCCTTTGTTTCTGTCCTGTGGCTCAGGACAGGCCTCCCATTTCTACCACGTCTTCATGATTATCTCATTTACTCACGGGTTTCTTTCTGTAACAGAAGTCGCTGATCACTAGTACCTCAGGAATAATGGTCTATATTTTTATTATCATTTAAACAAAAATTCCTTCCGCATGATGTCTTCTATTGTGACGTCTTTATCTTGCTACGTCCAGGGCACACTGCTTTTGAATACTTAAAAAAGGCCTACATCCATTCCCTGATTAAAGGGGCTCTGAAGGACTGCTTTGTCCTGGGTGCTGGAAACATGTATCAATAAAATCACACCCCGCCTTCTAAGAGCTCACTGTCTCGTCCGCCCATTTCAGCGTGATCTAGAAGTTTGCAATGACAGATGTTTTTAAAATGTGGGAATATAGAAGCTGGAGAGGCTGGTTTGTTTGTTACCTGGGGAAGGACAGGCAAGAGAAGCACAGTTAAGAAAACTACAGATGAGCAAAGATTCACTGACTTTACAAAGAATGACAAAATCCTTTTTACCAAGAGGAATGATTTTTAGGGAGCTGAGGGCACAAGAATGTGAGGAGCATGGAACATGGGGACCCTCTCTCAGATGGCCGGGCGTAGCTGATGACCGAGGGGGGCGCACCCTCCACTCTACACAGTTAATGGGACCACAGCAGACACGTCAGTACCTGGTGGCACTGTGGGATATGCAGGCCGCAGAGATAAGCTGGGTGTTCCAAGTGTGTTCTGATTAGAGACTCGCAAACAGGAGGCAGTGATTCTGGGCAGGACGACACGCAGACAGGGTGAATTTCTCGCAGGTGGCGTGAGCAGATGATGAATCACCAGTCACCTGTCTGCGTATCTGAACGAGCCCACGCCGGGGAGAAGGGATGCTTCAGAAGCAGAGCCGCTGCCCGCCGGCCGCCACTGACGGCTTTATTTCTCCATGCCTCAATGTCCTCTTCCACAAAATGGACATAAAGCCTGTCCATCTAGGGAGCTCTGGTGGCCTAGAGGCAAGAAGCTGCAGTGCAATCCCAAAGGTGCATGGTTCGAATCCACTAGATGCCCTGCCGCGGAAGGAGGGACAATCTCCTGTACCAGTCAGATCCGATTTGACGGTACACACACACACACACACACACACACACAAATAATAATAATAATAAAAAAACCAAAACCTGTCCATCTCAGAGAAACAAGAACAGAGCTTTCAAAACGGTTACATT